TGTCTCAGCCAGGTTTGTGCTTCAGCCTCCTGGGGCATGTGCATCTGGGTGGCGGCTCCTCCTTGCTGGGCAGCATGTTGGCTTCAATGTGTTGAGCTTGGTACTTGGAGAATCAGTGTGGCAAAGGCGTGAGCTCTAGGAGGTGGAAGGGAGGTGACGGGGAGCACTCGCCATGAGCAGGCCTGGGGAGCCAGGCTGTTTCGTCTCTGTCGCGGTCTTTGACCATCAGAGTAGTCTCAGAGGTCCATCCAGGTTTGGGAGGAGACAAAGGTTCTACCTCTCAGGAGGACTGGAAATACTGTTGTGGCCTGTTTTTTGGGGAAACGATCTGCCCCATTCCACCCTCTGGACACACAGTTCACATCCCTCCAAACACAAAGTACACTCATCTCTTCCCGAAGCTCCCGGAAGCTTCCTTCTGTCGTGGCACCAGGCTCAGGCTCAGGGACAAGACCTCGTCCTCCAAATGAGATCAGGCAAGGCTCCTCAGGTGGACGGCTTCTCAAGAATGCCACCCTCTACATGACGGCTGTGGCCTAAAAGACTAGTTACCCCCATTCACGGGACCAGTGTACCCTGAAGGGACAGGTAGATGGCAATGTTATGTGTGCCCTTGATCCAAAAGGGACTGGCATGCAGCTCTCAGCAACCGCTGGGCACATGTTGCCTTGAGGAGGGCCGTCCCGGTGCCTGGAGGGGTTTTCCATGGCTGCTGGTATTGGCTCTGGAACCTTGTTTCGCTCTTTGAGTCATAATTCTTTCTTCACAGGGGTCTTATGTTTGGTGCGGGTCGGGGGTTCTCTTAGCCTGCTTCCTGCTCACGAAGTTCTGAGAGCAGGATTCTTCTCTCTCTGTGGATTCTGCCCCTTCAGGGCACCTGGTGCTTTCAATTTCCTCTAAATTCGTTTATACTGCGCTTAATTAGTCAAAGCACAGGTCCTCAGGTCTCTGAGATAACCTCTCCTCTCTTTGGGGCTCTCTGCCTTATTTCTTTGAGGCAAGCCTCTGAAGTTCTGAAGGGTCCTGTGGCTCTGCCTCCTGAGCTGTCTGGGAAGCACCACCTTGTGTCTTTGGATGTTTTAACAAATGTCTCCACAGCATGTGCTTGGCTTCTTCTTTAGATCATGTTTTCCTGAAAATGCCCTGAATTTCTTGTCTGCTTGGAGGTCCTTTCTTAGCTTTAGAATCTCGGCCATCTGGAGAGCTGACAGTGAGAACCATTTTATTTTCAGACCCAGGAGGCCCTGGCTCCTTCGTGACGACGGCTCCTTCTTTGCCGATCTCTTCGCACTCATGTTCTGTTCCAGGTGGCTTGAAGAATCCCGGAGATCGCTGTAACACTGCTTGAAAGTCTCCTTAACCTGGTGGCCCAGTCACGAAGTGGGTCTCCTGTTTGCCATTCCTGCAGGTGACACTGCTGCCGGACTTTCCCTCCTCATCCTCCCTTGAACCTCACCCCGAGCTTTCCCGAGGGCCCCCAATTTCTGCTGATTGTCTCTTCAAGACTCATCTCTTTTCCCAAAGCCAAGCCACACGTTTCATTTTTTAGGTAGCAGCAGTGCCCTGTAGGTACCACGTCTGTGCAGGACTCAGTGTCTTAAGATGCAAGGATGACTTTAGGACTGTCCTATGGCTCCAGAATGTGACTGAACTCAGGGGTCCCTGGAGGAGGAGGTTCATTGCACATCCAGTGCCTGGGATGGGAAAGGTCAGACAGCTGAAGGCAGGAGCAGATGGGTCCCTGGCCTCTCCCTCTCCTCCAAGTGGCCTCTCCACAGGTTGCCCATGGCAGGGATGCCTCAGGGTGTCCACGTTTCTTATGCAGAAATCAGGGCTCTCACACCATGTGTCCAGGAGGATGGGTGAAAAGGCAGACTGCACTGCGGGTGCCCCAGCCTCAGAGGGCAGGCAACGTCTTTCCAACATCTTCTTCTCTGAAGCAGCCAAAGACCTCCCAGGTTCAAGGTTCAGGAAGAGCATTTGGGACTGAAAATATTGCAACCAGTTTGAGAAAATACCATCTGCCACAAATCCTGTAAATTATTCATGACTGCGAAATTCTATGACACTAATATTAAAAGTGGGGTTGGTGCATTCTTTTTCTAGGAGAAGGTCTGCCCTCTGTGTTTCAGCACACTGAAAGTCATCAGGACAATGCTGATTAGAACATTGCACATGTCAGCTATATGATGTTCTTGAGTGTCATGGCTTTGGGGAGCCTCATGTAACACTGGCTTTTGAAGATGGCCATGGAGCTAGGAAATGAACTTTGTTTGCTTCCATTCCCATGAGGATGGACATATTTGTTTTGTGGTTATAGTGTGCCAGGACCTGAGCTAAGTACTTTTCCCACAGACCTATCCATGCCCTTCCTCTGAGATGGTGAATAATGTCACTCTTAGGCTGTCTTCTCTGAGGCTAAGGGGAGGTGCCCAAGACTTCTTCTAAAACCACATTCTGTACCACTCCACCCTGCTCCACCCGCCTGTTCTGGGACCCTCACTCTGGCCTACTGCTTCCCGTCTCTGTAGCCTGCACCATTTTCTAACACAGCACAGAACTCACTGTGCTTCCCTGTCCTGGGACATCACCCCCAAAGGGTGGAAGCCCTCTCCTGCAAGATCAAAAGCCAGGGTGCTTGGTGCTTTGGGGAGGTCTGGTTTGGTGGGGCTCCAGTGGGTGGAGGGGCAGGAAGGCCTGGGTTTTCCACAGCTGGAGTGCAGGGGCTCTGAGGACCAAGGCCAGCCTGGGGGAGGGACAGTCCAGCCAGCTCAGGTCCTGGCCACTGGCTCGAGTCTTGCTCACACTGCCCTCCCTCTCTTCCCCTCCAGCTCTGACGCGACCCAGACCCCACAGTGATGACTACAGCACCATGAAGAAGATCCCCCCTCGAAAGCCAAAGAGAAGTCCCAACACAAAGCTCAGCGGCTCCTATGAGGAAATTTGGGGCCCCCGGCCCCCAGGTGCCATGTGTCAGGCAGGTGCCCGCCAGGTCCCCGGAACCCCTGGTGCCCAGCGGGCCTGCCCAGCTGATGGCCCGCAGTACACCCCGCAGCTGCCACTGCGCCTGCCCCTACCCCAGGGCGACGAGGATGATGACACGGAGCCTGTGTACATCGAGATGGTGGGGAACGCGGCCAGGGCGGGCGGCCACGAGGCCGACAGCCCCGACCAGGGCGAGTCAGTGTACGAGGAGATGAAGTACTTCTTGCCCGAGGAGGGCGGCAGCCTGGGCATGGTGTCCTTCCTGTCCCCCTCGCCTCTGTTCTCGGACACTCGGAAAGCCTTGGCCTTGGAGGCTGGTGAGGGGGGCTGCCAGCCCCTGAGGGACACGTGCGACATCCCGCCCCCCTTCCCCAACCTGCTCCCGCACCGGCCTCCGCTCCTGGTCTTCCCGCCCACGCCGGTGACCTGCTCCCCTGCCTCGGACGAGTCGCCGCTGACGCCCCTGGAGGTGAAGAAGCTGCCGGTCCTGGAAACCAACCTCAAGTACCCTGTGCAGTCCGAGGGCTCCAGCCCCTTGTCGCCGCAGTACTCCAAAGCCCCGAAGGGGGACGGCGACAGACCCGCGTCCCCCGGCGGCGCCGTGTCCGACGGGCCTCGCCCGGCCT